CCCTTGCAGGCTGCAGAGGAGTCTCCCTGTCTGGCTTTAAGTACATTTGTCACACCAGGCCCTTAATCCAGTGCGGAAAATTGGCTTATTTCTGCCATGCAGGTGGAGAGTGGCGGGGCTGCGTCCGAGGTGGGAGTCGGAAGCAGCTGTGGAGGAAGGGATCAGCCCCCACTAGCATGTCTGCTGCCCCACAGCCTCACTGCCAGGCACAAAACCCCTCCCTGGGAGTTTTCCACGCTTGGTGGAATCCCTTTTCCTTACTCCCAGACTAAAATGTCTCTTTTCCAAGCCTTGTGAGGACTTCTTTCAGGGCAGCATCCAGCTGGCTGGCAGCTGGGATCAGAAGGGAGCACACACAGCTTGTGGGGTGAAAGGAGGGCAAGAGCTTTCCTGCCACAGAACATCACTGGTGGCTATGAGAAAGGAGGAAAATGGGTTTTCTACTGAGAAAGTAGAAGACAAAAGCAGAGCAGGGCTACTCTGAGCATTTCTTTTGCTGCCTGCACTTATCTGCAGGAGATAACCATTCCAGTTTGGAAAGAAAATGTGCCAGGCTTGGATGCGTGGGCAGCTCAGCAAGGAATGGGACTCACTCACATGTTGCAGAGGTAGAGTGAAGAGCAAATCTGTGACAAACCTTCTCAGAGGAGAGGCAGGAAACTCAGATCACAGGCACAAAGGCCTTGGCACTTCTGCCACTTCACACGTCAGCATGAGAGTTTGCACAGCTGAGCGCCAGGAAGCGTCCAGGAAACCTCAGCATTCCTGGGGATGGGACAGCCCAGGTCCAGCCCCATGCTGGGGTGGCCAGGACCTCCACCAAAGCCTGAAGGTCAACAGTTCTCACCCACTTCACTACCCAGCTTCACCAGCCTTGGCAGGAGACAGCAGAGCTTTGGCTTCTCATCCCGTTTGTGTCTTGTAAGGCCCATTTGAGACACAATTCCCTCACCAAAACCAGCTGGGCTTTAAGTCATCCCCAGCCAGGAGTCTGCAGGGTCCCCACTATGATCTTCCCAGCTCTGCCTTCCTCTCATAGGTGTTCTCACTCCCGAGTCAAGCCCAAGCTCAACTCCAAAATAGGAAGGAATCTGGGAGAAAACAGCTGTTCCTGGTCCCAACAGGGCCGTGCTTGGGGCTGGTGCTTGGTCTGTGGAGCAGAGGGAAGTTCCACTCTCCAGAGCACCAGGATGAAAGTTTACTGCATTCAGCCTTTTCACTTGAATGGGCTTTTGCATTTGTTGTTCCAGCACAGGAAGAAAGAAGGAGGAAAAGTCAAATGGGCCTGGAGCATTTTGTGCTCTTAGAGGCCGTCTGAGCTTTTAGGATTCAAAGAGAAATAAATTACATCTGTGTGCAGCTTCCGGATATCCGAGGGACTCGTTGAATAGGGCTCGCACGTCGCAGCTCTCTCTTAAGGTTGGGCTTTTATTTCTGGCTTTTACAGCAGCATCAAGGCCTTTTAAGAGCTATTTTGTCTGAAGCAGGCTTAGCTTTCCCCTTCAGCTGAGCTCTGCAGCTTCCTGCAAAGAGCTTGTGTGGGAAGAGGGGACAAAAGGAGAGACGGGCTCGATGCAAAGAGAACATCTCTTGGAACGTGGCTGTCCTGCTGTAAGTGGCTGTGAGGAATTCTTTATTTAAAAGCTGGTTTCTAGTCCTGGCCCATGAGATCCTGTGGAAGGGAACTGGAGTCTGTTCTTCCTTCAGTGAGCAGTGAAATGGGTGGCAGAGTGGGGAATGTGAGACACCTTGCAGGGCCTCAGAATCTGAAGAGAACAAGGTTGAGAAGAGGGTAAAGTTGTGTCTGGGGCTCTGTGATCCTGCCCAGCCAAACAGCCAAGGGGAGCCAGGCAGCACTGATGGGAATATCCCATCCCATGGGAAGGTGGCACATGCACAGGTTACAGCAAGAACATCTCCCCAGCCCGTGGTGTGGGGCATCTTCTGCTCATCCCAAAGGAAACTATTACAGTTCACTCTTCAAAGCTGGTTCTTGGTGCCACCAGCAGGACAAGGTGGTTCCTGGCTGGGAGAAGGGCAGTGCCCCAGAGCCCTTCCCACATGCTGGAGCTTCCCAGGGGTGAAGATCCCCATCATCAGCACGGCCAAATGGGAGGAAGGGCTGAAGGCAAAGTTCTTTTCCTTGAACCGTGTCCTCTGCTGAGCTGATGTCAGGCTGTTTCACATCAGCCCTAGGAGTGCCTCCTGCCCTGTCACATCTTAGCCAAAGGCTCCAAGGCTCTGCCATGTGAGACCTGCCTTAATCTCTCTGTTACACAAGCTCCTGGATGAAGGCCAGCTGTAGGCTGGGAAATCAGTCTGGGAGGGGTTTTGCAAGGTGAGCCTGTCCCGGGGCACAGACATCTCCCAAAAGCTTGGCCAGTGGCAGCACTGCTTGGCTCTCCTCACCCCTGGGAGACCTCAGGTCTCCCCCAGCCTCCTCCTCCCTGAGCTGGGCAGCCCCTGCACTCCTGATCTTCCCTCATCTAGCAGATTTTCCAGGTTCCGGTCAGTCTCCTGCTGACTTAGAGACCTTCCTAAGGGATTGGAGTCTGCAGGTGGGCTGGCTGCTGGGCTGCTTTTCTCTACACAGGTTTCTGAGATGCTTCTGAGTACTTCCAGTGTGGTGCTTCTCCATGTGATGAAGGACCAACTCATCCCAGGTGGAGATGGAGAAGAGGGGACTGTCCCTGCCTGCTCCCCAGGCCCAGAGCTTCCACCTCCCTTCCCCAGCATAGTCAAGCCCCTCTTCTTTTCTCTTCTTTCAAACCCAGCTCCTCATTTAGAGCCCAGCTTCAAATTCCTGACCGTTCATGGAATGACCCTCAGCAGCCCTCAGGGCTTTTTAACCGGCAGCTCTTGGAAAGGGGTGAAAATCCAAGGGGAAACAGCCTCCAAGGAGCTATAGGGTGCTAATTAGGGGGAGCCATGAGGGTGGCTACTCATGGTAGTAGCTCCTCTCACTCTTGGGAGGCCTTAGAGCCCGCCCTTCCCTAAGCTTGAGCTCTGTTTTTTGACCTGTTTTGCAATAATTTACGTAACCCATGCCTGACCCCACTTGACATCCTTTGCCTCCGCAGCCTCGGCCGCAGCAGCAGAAGTTACAACCCACTGGGCAAAGAGACGTTCCCTTTTTACCTGTTTTAATGTGCTTTCCACCTCAATCCTTATTCACAGCTGAGATAGGAAGGCTGGGGATATTCAGTGTGCCGGGAATTCGAATGTGTGGATGGTGGATTCCATGTTTTCATGTTGACATATCCCTAGACAAGGCTAGGGAAGAAGTTGCAGGAGGTGACCGTGTGTGAAAACAGATGACCCGAGGGGTTCCCTCTACTCTGACATTTTTCTGTGAATCCCATGAGTTAAATTCTTACTGTAAGGCTCAGATGTGTTTTGACAGGTACAAAGGGATACCAAGAACACAACATCCCGAACAACCTTTGAGTAAGGTGGGTGCTTGGTGGCTCTTTAGGGTGACAGAGCTTAGTACAGCCCTGCAAAATGCCTTTTCAGTGTTACCAACTGATTTTTTCCACCGTTATTGTGCGCAGAAAGGTGTGAGATGTATGAAGAGCACGATGGGGAGTGTGCATGGTAACCTGTGAATTTTTTTAGGTGCGTTACTGTGAAGAGGTGCAGGACCCCCTTTAACGAAAAAAACCTATTGAATTTGTCACGCTGACGTGGGAATTTTGAAGATGAATGCGTTTTCCTTGCCGGTGCTGCCAGGCAAGGCTGCCCTGGAGGGCCTGGCTGGGTTGCACGGCCCCAGACATTCCCGCCCCACGCGCCGGAGCAGGATCCGCGCGGTGCCGGAGCGTCTGTGCTCTGCTCCAGGATCCGGGCTCGGGCGGTGGAGCGACGCCGTCCAGAGCAGAGAGCCCGTTTCTGATCTCTAGTTTGCGTTGATCTTACTATTTAGACACGCAGTCAGAAGAACAGACCCTCCCTTTTCCAGTGCCTTTGGAAAGATCGCAGCTTCGTAGAATGAGTCCTTTCTCCTCCACCCTTAACCTGCAACCCAGCTTCTCGGGGAGATCCTACTTTGAGCTAAGATCTTCGGCCCACCAGCTGAGCTTGCATTCTTCCTTACAGTCCCTGAATTCAGCCGGTGAGCTGAGCACCTCTGGCGTTTCCTCTTGGTCTGTGCTTCTGGGCATCTCCAAACTATCTGTTTGTTCTGTTCCGTTGTGTTTGTTTTTCCCATGACATGCGGATGGATGGCAGGGGGAATTCTTTCTGTTTGTCACTGGCCTGCTCCTGCCGCCGAGGGGGGTTCTGGTGACCTAGTTCTTGTGGTGTTTTCGTCTGTATGTGGGCAGTTTGGGGTGATGGAGCAGCACAGTAACTCCTCATGTGGGTGCTGTTCTTGGCAGGGCGTTGCTGAACCCTTCGGCACAGCCGGCAAAGCAGATCATAGAATTCCAGACTGGTTTGGGTTGGAAGGGACCTTAAGGACCATCCAGTTCCAACCTTCTGCTACAGGCAGGGACATCTTCCACTAGGAGATCCCTCATCTCTAGTTTGCATTGATCTTGTGTCAAGGGACCTTCCCTGGGAGAAAGCTGTGGGAACACCCCGATGGTTTGTTTTCCCTATACAGCCAGGAGGCACAGCCTCTGCTGTGAGATTCGGTCTGTGAAATCAGTTTGGTTGATTAAATCTAAACCCTTCTTAAGCAAGAAGCAAATCTGGATGCAGGCAAGGTCTAACTTGTTTCCCAGAGAGGTTTTGGATTCCCCGTGCCTGCAAGTGTTCAAGGTTGGACAGGGCTTGGAGCAACCTGGGATAGGGAAGGGTGTCCCTGCCCATGGCAGGGGGTTGGAACAAGATGATTTTAAGTCCCCCCAACCCAAACCAGTCTGGGACTCTCTGATTCCAGCTCAGGCCAGCTCACAGCCCAGCTTAGGACCCTGAAGACATGGGCTTGCATCCGCTCAGCTTTGAGCACTGGGCTCGGCTTTTCCAAAGCCAGACATGACTGTACCAAAGCCTTGTTTTCTGCAGAGCAGAGGACACCACTCCTGTGATGCCTCGCTCATCTGGCAGCCCCCACACGAGCGCTTGGCTTCCTGCCCTGTTCCCGAAATCCTGGGCTGTGGTGGGATGCAGGCAGGTCAGGCAGAACGAGGGATGGTTTCGGGCAGCCAGCGAGGAGCCGCAGGCACAGGGATCTCTCGGAGCCGTTTTCTAACCAGTCTCTGCACATCTTCCTTTGCTAAAGATCCTGGGCCCTGATTCTTCCGCCGCTCCGGATTTACACCGCTCCAACGGCGCAATTCCCGCCTTCCTCTGGCCTAAGCCCGGGAAGAATGGGGGCCCCCGATCGTTTGGTTTCCATCCCATAACACGGAATGAGGAATGCTGCAGCATGACCCTTGCCAGAATAACCGGGGGGGGGACCCTGCAAACTTTCTTTTCTTTGTGCTTTTTGTGTTTTATTTCTCATCCTGCTGCTGTGAGCTGATGGCTTCAACGCTGTTTTTTTGTTAGGAATGTTCCTTCCTTTGTGTCCAGTGTTCCGAGACCACCGCACTGGCCGCGAGGGGGTACCTGTGTGGGCAGTGTGGACCCTCTGCAGCCACACTCTGGGGTGGGGTGGGGGGGACAGGGCAACACAGGGCCCTGAACACCAAGATGGGCTCCCTCACAAGAGCTCAGACCACAACGATGGGCAGAGACCTTGAAAAGCACTTTTTGAGCAGGGGCAGGGGGCACGATTCATTAAAACAGCCTCGGGAGGTGCCACGCGAGCACGGCACGGAGCACAACCACAGCCGGGGGCTTTCCCACCAGCAGGCACGTCAGGAGGGGGGAAAACCAATCACAGGGCTCCACAGGGTGTCCTTGAAATCCAGAACCTTTGGTGAGTGCTCTTCCGTGCAGCGCCAACATGGGGCTTCGTGTTGTCCTCTCCACCTGGTGAGGACGAGCCCCTGGATCAGGACAAGCCCCTGAACCAGTCCTTTGCTGCATCCCAGCTCCCCAGAGGTATTTGCAGCCATCAGTCAGGCACAGGAGGATAAAGGGCACCCCAACACATCCTGCCCATGCAGTCGATGCATAGCCTGGTGTCCTTTGCCCTTCTGCCCCCAGGGACCCCCTTTCCTTCTCCACTCTTGCCCAGACAACATATCCTCCAGGAAGGCAGCCTGGAAAAGCTCAGTGCTTCCTATCCACTGGACACACCAGTGGCTGCTCTTTGCTCAGTCCCTCTCCTCCAAGGAGTGGTTTTTCAGTCAATCTTGAGAATATTTACCAAGCAGCCAAGATACTCCACCAAGGCTAAAACTTCCTGCTTCTTTCTCTGGAGAAAAGCTGAACAACTGGGTGTCCTGAGGAATCAGGTCACAGTCCACCCATAAACTCACGTGTTGTGTTTGTGGCTCCTCTCGTGCCCTCTGGCTTTTAATGAATCAGGCCTCCTGTGGCTGCTGGACGCTTAGTTAATGATTAAATGCTCCCAAGTGTTTGTCAGGTGCTTGTTGTTCCTCAGCTGTGATGTGTGAAATGTAGTATCTCTTTATAGGATGCAATTTTGACACACAAGGATCGCCTTACTCTCAATTAGGCAAGTATCTTTATTACAATTAACTGGCACCTACTGAGTGTTGCTTCATCTTTTTTTTTTGCTTTTTAATCTTTTAACTTTTCTTTGGCGACCGAGCAGCATTTCTTGCTCTCACACCCTGCTTTGCAGAGCACTCTGGGATTGTCAGAGAATCATGGAATCGTTAAGGTTGGAAAAGCCCTCTAAGATCATCGTTCCCCCAGCACTGCCAAGGCCACCACTGACCCATATCCCCAAGTGCCACATCCACATGGCTTTTAAATCCCTCCAGGGATGGGGGCTCTACCACTGCCCTGGGCAGGAGGCATATTTGGAGGGAGAGTGGTGATTAGTGTAAGATGTAAAGACATTTTTAAGTTTTTCTCCCATATGGTTTTAAAGAGAAGCCTGAGGTCAGTGCTCTGGAAGTGGCTCTGTAATTAAGAACTGATCCTACTGCTCTCCTCCTGCTCTTTTAAACTGCCAGAGAGCAGGGTTAAATGGGATATTGGGAAGGAATTGCTTACTGTGAGGGTGGGGAGGCCCTGGCACAGGTTGCCCAGAGAAGCTGTGGCTGCCCCTGGATCCCTGGAAGTG